GAATTATATTAGAGAAAGAGAGAAGAGACAATTATTGTATATATATTATTATTCTTCATTTACTTAAAAGGTTTTAGTTTTCAAAATATGCATTCAAATATTTCTTTGAAATTTCATAATTATTTTTTGATATTCATATATATGCATCAAAAAGTAATACACATGCTGCTTTTTACAATATTCGTCTTTTTTAAAAAAGAATCGATCACACGCGAGTTTATAAAGTACATAGGATATCTACTAGTTGGATTTCCTTTGTGATTCGAATCCTTGTGTAAAATCGTAGTTGAATTTTTTTACCGAAACATATCTCTTTGAGAACTTTTAACAATATAAAATAACCCAACCTGAATTTATATATACATATAATGATAAAATAAACAACTTTTGTCATAAATATTAATAAATAATTTATATTACAAATATCTGTATACGCTTATGTATGTAATTGATAAATTTATGAATAATCTTACATTATTTTCGTATAAATCACATATATTAGAGATTAGAAAAAAGAGGTCATGTATCGTCGAATCGATTACTTATTCAGAAAAAAATCTTATGTAAATGTAAATGTGTGTGATGCCAGTTTTATTATATCTGAATTAAAGTCGCATTAAAAGATTGAATCTTGAGATGCATTCCACGAAGTTTTGTATAAAACGGCATTACTTTCTTTTCCATCTGATAATAATTACGAATGAAATTTGCAGGTGAAACGATTTTCCTATACCTTGAGCACCGAGAACTCGACCTCTATGCCGCAAACGTGGTCCGTGGAAAGGAACTGCACAAATAAGTGCGAACCAGGATGCATCGTGATCGGGGAACGCACCAAGCTCTATGCCTGTACCGATTGTTGCGAGAGCAATCTGTGCAACAACGGTACTGGTACTGCCAACGACCTAACGATCAAAGAAATAGACCTTTTGCTGGCTCTTGTGCTCCAAGCTATCTTGACCGTTATCATGTACTCATCGTGACAGTATCAATAAAGCATCTAGTTATAATTCCCCCTATACCTAATATAAAATCCGGATAAAATCTAAAATGTTCTGCATCTCTTAATATTTGAGTAACGAAACACAATCTAAAAATAAATTAATAACATATTCTCGAATTTTGAGATTTATTCTTTGCAAACATCAAATTTAATAGTCAACAACTCTAATCTTCATTTTAATCTTTAATTTGTGCAAGGCTAATTATTTTAAATCATTTTTATACAACTGTTTCACACATCAGTCTATTTTAAGTATGTGATAAATATTTAATTATCACTCTGTTCTCGTATTTTTTTTTGGCGTCTACAATTATAAAGTTGAATTAATTGTTGAATTCTACATTGACTTTATGAGATGAAGATACAATAATGCATGATCACTAATTTAAATTTATCGACTGTAAATTGCGAGTATAACGTCATCTAGTGCTATGTAACGATACTTGAATTCAAACCCTTAAGAGTATCGACTGCGTACTAGCAAGATTAAAATTGTAATGTAAATATCAAAAATATAAAAAAATGAAATTATAAAAACAGATAAATAGTTAAAAAAATTTTTAAAAATTAGTTTTGAAACGAAACTCTCTTATAAAATAACCAAAAGATTGAACAATATCGATTATTGGCCAGTTTATTAATCGAGAACTACATTGAACATAACAAAAAAAAAAATAATAATAATCCAGCTCAGAAGACAGTTTAATATACACTTTAATGTCTCTATCAATAATTTTTATATTGATAATATGTTTTTCTATTCTCTAATTTATGTGTTGATCTATCATTTATTAAACGTTTTTAAATAATTTCAACAATGCAATCTAAGCGATAATACTATTACATGCGCTCATCTTAATTTTTGTTTACTGTCACAACTTCGCGATTAATTTCGTGAAATTCATTTTCACGACTTGCAATCATCTTTTCACAAAAAGATTGTAATTTACATCGACAGTCTCTCGATGTAGCAAGAAGACAAGTTACAATAAGTCTACTACTGACGCACTACTCCTGCTGCACATATATTATACTTCCTTTTTCTCCTTCCGATCTTGTTTCTCTCTTCTTCCCCCTTCTCATCTACTAGCATTGACCTTCACGCGCCCGTTCTCCACTATTCCGCAGCAGTCGTCGTCCCGATACCTTTGTCGTAGAAAATGAAATGAGAATTTATCACATATAACAATGGCATTACTTAAAGCCATTTTCCCTAACACGTCGGTCCGCTGCTAGAATACCGGGAAAAGTATGACACCAGAAGAAAACATTGCGCAATTGGCACGCACGTTGTGACCGCGCGTTCAAAGTAGCCGCTCGTTTGCTACATAAATATGCTAAAATCCTTTGGTAGCTCACGATTAATCGGTCGTAAAATAAATTGAGTGCTGTTTTTTCGCAGCACTACGTCGCAAATATATATTTAGTACTTTATGTCTCAACAGTTTGAAAAGAGAATCATAAAGCGTCTAATTGTAAGTATGAATTTATGCTTGACTAACATTATGATTACATCTATTTGAAATCAGGAGATATGCCTAGATAAATATTCCTTCTTTAAATTATATCAATTCATAAAAGATCTCAAATCAATCATCAATTAATAAAGTTACACTGAAATCAATAAAAAAAATACATCTATTTGAAATCAGGAGATATGCCTAGATAAATATTCCTTCTTTAAATTATATCAATTCATAAAAGATCTCAAATCAATCATCAATTAATAAAGTTACACTGAAATCAATAGTAAATATGAACAACAGATGATAATGTATTTATACATGTCATATTTTTTTTTCTTTCAGTTAAATATGTTTAAAAAATGGAGTAATTCTCATATGTGAAAGCACATGCCTTCTTTCTTATCTCTCTATTAAAGCCTCTTTTAAAATAATATATTGCCTATTTATTCTCACAATATTATACAATGATTTTTATGATAATTATACGATCATTATGTTAAAATCTTGACGGAAATCTTCATCAATTTAATATCGAAATTCTCGCATATAATAGCTAAATATTGTGTTGCGATTGCGAAAACTGACCACACGTAACATTCGCAGCCAACAATGATAATCAGTGATGTTGCTATTTGAGTTTGTCTCCACTACCATCTCACACGTCTTTTGCGATAAACGCACGGCTGCGTCATCCGAAGAAACGGAAGAAAAAGGCGACAGTGATATTGCGACGACAAAACATCGGCTAGACACAGTCGGTCCGGTTGTTTCCGACTTGTCAAACATCGGGAAAGACACGTCCGCGATCAGCCCGGACGATCAGTCAGTGCGAAGAAATCTGTCAGGCCAGAATGCACGCGTTGGGATTGTCCGCGATTCTCCTGTTATGCCATGCTTCGATCACCGTGACCTACCCGATGACGACAACGATGACGACAACGATGACGGAAGTCGTACACGAAACAAACGCGCCGACAAAGTGCTGCGTTGCCGACTACGCGTTTGATGAGAATCTCAAATGCATCCATGTGGAACTGAACAAGTTCAACTACACCACGCACGACGCCTGGCAAACGATATCGTCCGAGCCTCTCCAACAGATTGTTACAATGTTCGCGTTCGTGCCTGGCTTGAGCTGCCGCGTCGACGACGCCGACACGAACCGTCACCCCGTGCGCGGCTACGCGACGTTCCTCGAACCAAAAGATTATTGTATCGAGAATATGATCAACGGCACGATAGTGCTCATCAAGTGTACGGAGATGGCTTTAAATAAGGAAAACTGGACGGAAACGATGATGGTGACGAAGACTACGATGATCATCACCGTAACAGCCATCACCACCATCACCACTATGGCTAACATGACGAAGGAAGACAGAGAGGAAAACGTTCACCATAATAACAACCTGAGAACGGTCTTTTTCTGGGGCGCGCAGACCTATATGGATACCAACGTGGCCCACGTAATTCTTTGCATCATCGTAGTTGTGGTGTATCTATCCGTTCCGAAACTGGGCAAGAGCATCTACAATCGCGCGGTGCTACGTCACAACGTTTGCCTGCTGCTGCAGGGATGCATTCTGATGTTCCTCGGCTTCTGCGAACTGTGCAATTGTCCGATGAGCGATGACTTCGCCACGTTTCTATGGATAGTGTTGCAGTACTTCACGAACGCCACTGTGTTCTGGCTCAATGTGATCTGCTTCGACATGACACTGTCGATTACACGGTTTCGGTGGATGGTAGGATTCGGTCAGCAGACCAATCAGGAGGAGAACAGGCGACTTCTTCTGTACGGCGTCTTTGCCTGGGGCAGTGCTCTCATCCCTGCCATCGTTGCCTTCATCCTGGAATTTTTCCACGGAATCCCGGATGATTTTCCGTTGAAACCGAATTATCGTCGGTATCGCGGCGGTCCAAACTTGGTGGTAAACATCTACTTCTTCGGCATACCGCTGTTGACGCTCTTTTGGAATAACGTGTTATTCGTGTTCACCACGTACAAGATCATACGGATACAACAAAGCACGGAGATAGCGACGAGAAATAACACCAACGCCCTTAAGAAGAAGTATTTCCTCTTCCTGCAGTTGTACCTGCTGATGGGCGCGCCCTGGTTCTTCGGCCTGCTCTTTGCCTGCCTAAACAAACTCGTGGTGCTCAAGATATGCCGGATGATATGGCCGATATTGTGGCTCCTGATGCTCGCCACCCACAAGAAAATGCGACAGAAGCTTGCGAGCAGCTTGCGGTGCATCACAAAGAAACGAGAAACTACCGCGACGAATACGTAAAGATAACAGCCCTAATTACTTTGCGCAATTAAAATCCGTGTTTTGAAAAAAAATACGCGATAAACCAGTATTCGTCGATCGCATTTGAAGCGTAGAAAATCACGAGATACCCGTCTATCGTCATCGTCATTACGCAATTTTGTGGCGACGATGAAGTTCCTCTTGTTATCGTCGCGCTCGCGCGCTGCGAGCATTTGCATTTTTTTCTTGCGCAAGCCGTAGGAACCCCCCCGTGGAGGAAAAAAAAAACAGAGAAAACAAAGCAAAGAATCAACGGTCGTCGCAGCAATATCCGATGGGCGCGGGCTGAGCGATGAGTCGCGCCGCGGAAAAACTCGCGGCGTCGAGACGCGCGCGCGGCGGATAATAAAGGAGACGCGGCGCGACGTCGTTTCCTGCCGGAGCATTTTAATTACCATATTCGCGACGCGCCGCCCACCCGTCTGCTCTCCCCTTTCTGCCTCGTACCTTTTTTTATGACATGTAGAATATTAATCCGTTAGTTGTACAACGCGGGCGATATATCAGAAGCACGCGCTTTTACGCGGGCAATCTCTTGCGTCTCTAAAAAAATGCAATAAAAAATGCAGGATCGTGATTTCTTCCTGTCGAGAGAAGAAAACGATCTTTCTTCACGCGCGCTGATAGATTAAAATATATGATCAAAACATACGAGAGATATATATTTTTTCTATCGTGTATGTCAATTTTATGTCCAGTATTAAAATAGAGAGAGACTCTGTTCCCGCGCGCCACGGCATGTAAATATCGTTGTTATTATAAAAATTCTGGTATCTAGTCAATGGAAGAATAAACAAGTCAATTAATAAGTGTAAATAGTACTCGACGGAAATTACCTTGAATCGCGAAGCTCCCGACAGCGCAATAATGATCGCATGGAATCGATAAGTGACGGCCTACGGGCAACGACTTATTAAAGACTATTGATTCACCCTCCTGCGCGGTAAAAAAATGAAATAGAAGAGTGTATCATAGTTCCCTTAAGGCAATCGCGATACCACAAACAGGTATTTCTCAGAATGTGATAGAAAATATGACGTCGCTTGTATCGATATTTAGGAGAGATAAAAAGATTATGATAATTAGCTTCTCTAGACTTAAACGTAAATTAGACGTAGCAATTAATATATGTAAATATTATTTGTACACTCTAACTCGCAATATTTTATTGTAAAAATAAAACAAACTGGATATCTCTAAAAAAAAAAAAAAAACAATTTAGTCAGCATAGCTCTTTTATTTAAAATGCAAAAACACGATTTGGAAATAAATTTACCCCAAATTGTAAAAAAATATGCAACATTTTTTTCTACTCGGAAAACCTATTAAAATGGAAACATCCATGACAAACATTTAACTGAAACGAGATGTAAACGATTTGTAAAAATTAAAATAAAACATATATTTGAATAGATGATTTTTTATATGCCTATATCTTTCTGATCATAAAAAGATATTTCCCAAATCTTTTTACATGTCACATCGTTTTTGATACATTGTATCATTATTTATTTTGGATATTATCTTGCGCGGATTAACTTGTATTTCTTAAGATCAATGTCTGCAAAATTTGTTAAGCATTTTATATCAATTTCTATATTATTAGGATAATGATCTATACATATTTTAATGTATACTCTTCTTGGGTTTTCCACATAAATCCGTTAACTAGAAAAGCTTACAGTTTGCAAATCTTCGCAGTATATACGTAGCATGAATCATCGCTTGGGTATCGCTCTGTCATAGATTGCATATTTATACCTTGCTGTTGCATCACATGTGTGCAGATTCGCGTGTGTATGTTATTTTGCGTTAAAACAAAAGCTAATTCACGTCAAAATATTTCAACATTCAATTTACTTTTTACGAATTTCCGCGTCGTATCTCTGCAATTTTGCATGAATAAGTATAATAAAAAAAAACATTATACAGAATAGTAGTTTATAAAATTAATATATCCGAAAAATTATGCGAGAGAGGAATAGTACTCTAAAATTCTCTTATCTAAGCGACGATCATCATGTCCAACTCGTTTTTTAAAGCCAAAAATGCTTTCCATCCCGCGGATCCGCCGCATGGCATGCAAAATTATGATATAGGTGCTTTAACGAGAGATCAGAAGCAAGCTTTAAATGAAATGAAAATGATTACTCGAAGGGAAAATGAAATTTACTTTAAATCACATCCGGAGGTCAAAGGTTTAATCACAATTTTGCTAAGGTGAGCTCACACGTGCCACTAATACTTTAAAATTGATTCGAAAAATGTATCTCTCTCTGTATATTTATACATTTAATTAGTTTATATATATTATATTATAATATAATTATTTATAGTTGATAGGTGGAAATTTAATTTGTGACCTTTTTCTAAAGATAACTTGATAAAAATCGTCTGGAGTGCCAATTATAATACTTAATATGCGACAGGGAATGTTCGTGATTAATGATACGTCATTAAAATCGTTCTCGCAGACACGTCCTATCGAAGCAGCCGCTCATCGATATTCCCGAGGTCGTAGGTACATTTTTCAACAGACCACGCCGTAAAATTGTCGCTGACCTTTTGGATTACTTGTCGTCTATCGATAAACGACCGGATATAATAGACAGTCTTCGACAGGAACTATTTCGAGCGACTGATGTTGAGACTCATAATAGCAACGATTCAAGCTCGCGATCCGATTATGACTCTTGCGACTGTAATCGAGAGAACTCGTAATTTTTTATGTACAATTTTAGTAATTCAAGGAGATATGTTATACACATGCTCCCTTTTTGTAGAATTTAAAATTAAATTTGTTCGATCTGCGTATATGTATAAAACTGATATACAATCTCTAATTTAAATTCGATTAATTATAATCCAATCAGATATGCTCGTTATAGATTCAATTAGGATTCAATTTGCTCGACTTTTATCAAGAAAATAACCTCTATATAACTCCCCTATATAACTCTTAATAATAAATCGATTCAATACAATCCCGGATGCGATCTTTATAGAATGGTAATATATATTTTTCTCGCCTCCATTAATATCACTTCACATCATCGAAATTTTTTTTCAATCTTTCTGCTTTCCCTATCGTTTTTTTT